GAAAATATCAGCGTTTCGTGTTCGTTTTGACTTCGTGTGGACGGGGCCTAATTCTCTGTCAGTCTCTTTCAGCTCTCTTTGGCATGCAACAGGTTATTCAATATAGGGTTGGTTGTTTCCCATCATATTGAATTCAGTTCAATTCAAAAATACTTTTTTTAATTCTATAGGGAAGTTAAATATGTGTAGTCGTAAACATTTAATCTCTCTTTGTATGAATTAGCATTGGTCTCCATTGTATACTGCTGTAAAGCTATGTGGACTCCCCACGTTACATCACTTCTGCTGCCTGTTTTTACATACAGAAATACAACTTTCTCCCAAAAACAACCCAAAAAGGCTAAATAGTACATCTTGATTCAAAAACCAATCCCTCACATATTTTGCATAAACCAATAAAAGTCAGGCTCTAACCTGCAATCTGTTCTTTAAAGAATACCTTTATTTAAACAAAGGGGACATAAAATGCACACCGCACTTTTCAGATTTTGATTTTCACTTTATGTTGGTTTGTCACATAAAAGACAATGACCTTTATGATTCTAAAGTAACAAAATATTGCTAAAAATAAAATCATGGAACCATGGGTTATGAATGCTCTGGCATGCTACTGCACTGTACTGGCAGCAGCATGTAATTAATATGTTGCTGTCTTTCTGCACATCTCTGATGTTGCTGCTACTTTCTAATTGCTATTAATGTAAACATGTCCATAGCTGTATATTGTCTTTTATGCTCCAAGTCCACAGCATTAATATTGTTAAAATACTTTACAGTACAGTGTTTTATTTATTTTTGACTCTTCACTATTATGTTATTCTTTTCTGAGTGCACATCTATGAAAACATTTTTTCTATAATCTTTTTGCTGCTGTAAACACCAGAATTTCCCCATTGTGGTACAATAAAGGGATTTTCTATTCCACTGCATCTAGCATTCATTAGAAGCTGGATTATTATAACCTAGAGTAGGTTAAAGGCTTAAGGTGTGCTGTTCTTCTATTCTTACTACACTCAGTATGAGGCGGCTGCTTCATGCTCACCAAAAGGAGCTGTGCTGGGCTGTGAGTCACGCTCCTCCAGGCTTTTCCCATCTGGAGTCCGAGCAGAGCTAAAGAACAGGGTGTAACTGCCTCATCATTCTCAATCTCTGTACATCTGAGAGAAGGAGACAAAATATTGTGAGCCGAGCTGCGCACAACACCAGTTACATCATCAGCCCTAATAAGTATAGACCAGACGAAAGCAGACATTGCACATGCTTCAACAAGCCCTCACCTTTTTAAAATCTTCTCCGTCACAGACTCCACTCCATCCCAACGCGATGCATTGAAGGCAGCGAGGACGCTCTGTGGAAGGATGTGGCCTTTTTGAGCCAGAACGGCTAAGTTGAACATTCCCTGTGAGTCAACGTGAAAACAGAATGAGGTGTTTTTCACTCTGAAAGTCTCCAAATAATGACAGCATGTAATGCTGTTTGTTGTTTTTTATTGCGCCAGGACTTAGCCTGTGGAAGTTTAATTAAGTTTATCATAGGGTGATGAGATTATGGCTCAAGTAAATCTGTCACCTGAGGGCTGCGTGCCAGAGCCGCTCTGCTATACATTGATACGGCCTGCTCAGCCAAGGATAATGAGTTTCCGTGCGCGCTGGAGGAATGGTAGTAGTAGTCTCCTATTTTCAGCAGGGCTATAAAGAAGACACATATTTGCTGTTCAGTGACCAGACTGGCAGGAAAAGAGAGGGAGAGGTTAAAGCAAAATGAAATGAGATGAACTCACTGGACGGATGAGGATCAGAGTTTAATATAGAGTGGTTTTGATATCTCCACAGACAGTCATAACCGAAGCCCAGCTCCTTGGTGGGAGAGAGCAAAGCAATAACGAGGGTACGTTATCAACCGCTAATAATTTCCCTCTGGGATAGTTCTCTTCATTTAGTGTGTGACTGGAATTATGAGCGATTTGTCCATTAGCTACAATAACAACTCCAATTATGATACATTAACTGTAGAACTGAGCTGGAATCAGATTAGAGGACGAGGGTTCGAGCTTCAGGGATACACATGGAAGGGTTAGGAGCAGAAAAAGGGGAAGGGTGTACCTCACACAAGTGAGCGACGTTACTCTGGGCTAAACCGAGGCCGGTTTCAGCAGCCAAAATGTACTTAAGAAGTGCTTTCTCCCTGCGGGCAGAACCACAACACAAAGGAAGGAGAGCAGATCAGAGGGAAGGATTGAATGAACATGAGTGAAATGAAACTGAAATTAATTTTCCTACCGAGCTCCCTTGAGGTGGGCCTGAAGAGCCTCCCTGATCATAAATCCAAGGTGGCCGTTCTGTTTGCAGGCCTTTTGTTGCAATCTGTGTAGTGAGTTGTATGAAATATGATTTATAATGCAGTGCAAAGGATTTATACCTCCTGAACTTTTCCACTTTTTGTCATTTCATTTCCTCGTACCAACAAACTCCAATGTGTTTCATTGAGCTTTTATTTGACAGACAAACACAAAGCAGTGTATGATTCTGAGAAGAAAAACAACACATTTTGTTCAGGTAAAAAAAATGAACTATGAATAAGATTTGTTTCCCCGTCAGTCAATATTTTGTATAACCAGCTTTCGCTTCAAGCACAACAGTGATTCTTGTGGGGTGCGTCTCAATCAGCGCTAGACATTGATGTTTTGACAATTCATCTAGGCAAAATACATCTTTTTGCACTGTCAGAGGCTGGCGAGAGAAAATATATATATATTCATTTCAGATAGATCATTTTTTGTTAGATACCCTTTAAAATGTCACATACTTTTACAAAATCTGGGCCAGATTAGATGAGGAGTATCTATGCACAGACTGGCATTTGGATTTCAGTCTAATGCTACATTCACACCGCAAGCAGCAGAGGCAGCAGAAGCAGCTATTTTACATACACAGTGAAAAAACGATCCTGAAAGAAGTGAGAAATTCTTAAAATAAGTGTATTAAGCCTTCATTTTAGTAGGTTAATCAGATGATTTGCCAATGGAATCAGTATTTTTACTCTTCAAATAAGAAAATTAGATATTATTTACTTGAAATAAGACAATGCAATTACTTTTTTTATTATAAATATAATTGCCTTGTTCCATTGGCAAAGTGTCTCACTTACATCATCAATTCAAGAAAAATGCACTTATTTTAAGAAAAAAATGACTTTTTTTGCAGAGCAAAGTCAATGGTTGACGCACATCTTGGCGCAGCAAAAGTTGCTGCAGTGCATCTCAGCTTCTGAGTTCTGAGGCGTGCAACGCGCTTCAGAAACAGCAGCTGCTGGAGTTGGAAAGATGTAACTTTTGCGGCTCGACGCGCCTCATCAACCAATCAGAGAAGCTGATCTGGGAGCTGGCAGGGAGACAGACACAGCACTGCTGATGCAGATCACTATGATCACTCCACTGAAACAGTTTATTAACGCCTAAATTAACCTAAAATGTCGGAACCTGCCGGAAAAATCTGTTAGATTTTACAGTATTATTCTGGTGCCTGCAGTTTGGATTACGTATGTGCAAAACGCTAACATCTATTTTCAGCCACCGCAAGCAGAAAACCGTGAAGAGGCGACCGGGCCAGAGGCTGCTGTTGAAGGGGATTCCTGGTGACAGAGCACCGCCGATGTAATGGTGTCTGAGCGGCTCTGACAGCGAAATAAGATTTGAAGGCAGGATCGTAATCCAGATGAACTGACTGCACAGATGAAGATTTCAGATGGACTTTCTCACTTAAAAACATATAAAAACTACTTTTTACCCACTGATCACAGCAAATATAGCTGCCATTGTTACTGGCAACGAAAGGATAGAGTAGCTCCGCCCAATGCACATCAGACCAGCTTTTCGACCGAAAATCTATAACTAAACACTGGACAATAGAAGACGCAGAACCTAGACTCCAGGCAAGGTTGATTTTATACTTTTTCCAAAAGACTTTGGACCAAACATTAATGCATTAACTAAGTAATAGTTATTTTCCTACTTAGTTAACCTACAACAATTCTGATGTTGTTGCCAATTCAAATTTTTTTGTTCATGCATAAAGAAACTTGATTGACTTATTCCACTATTTGTCTAAAGGGATTCTGCTTGGCAATCCTATCAAGACTGCAGTTATAAATGTTGATGGTGCAACTTTTCCTGCTAAAGGTTTTCCTTCCACTCAACTTTCTTGAAAAATTATATTGTAAAAGTTACCACATTGATTGTTAGAAGACAGGCAGTAGTCTGGTAATTTTGTAGTCTATGGAGCCAAAGATCGACCTGAGGGGCTCAGGAATCTATTTCAGGTCTTTTATGTTACCAAAATAAAGAGGATGTGACACCAGGATTTTTTTCAGTAAATCTAGGATCGTTTTTTTTATCTACAGTATAATCCAAAATCGCCGAAATGACAGTAAATACACACTTTAAATATTTCCCTGTCTGTAATAAATTTAGACGACATAAGTTCCTCTTTCTAAAATCAGTGACAGCAAATATATAACTTTTTTGTGATGCAGGCCTACCTGTAGCTACAGCAGCATATAGCCCAATTCAAGCTAATCGAAGAAAATCATGGTACAAAATAAATTCAGCTTCTTAGCCGACTGTTAAAAAATGTATCCCCAGTCACTTGCATTGGGTTACTGTGGGAAGAGCGGAAAGGAAAAGACTTTCTTTTAACATGTAACTTCCAGCAGAAGCTGTCTCAGTGTCAGCCTCCATCTGCTGCCGCCAGCTGGGGGTTTGAACAGCGCTTAATGGGATGTTCAAAGCTTTGAACATTGCTTTTTTTTTATTATTCTGCCCTGCTTTATACTTCCTCACTACTTTTTCTCTGACCTCTTTGGTGTTTTTTTGGTCTTTATCAAAGAGCTTCACTAGTATTCCCGAAAACTGATCCTGGACTGAGAGGAGAGAATGAATCTTCTAATTGGACCTCTTATTGTTTGACCTCATTTTGACATCACTTATTTAGGTCTAATAAAGCATACAGGAGTGAACACTTGAACACATCAGAGTTGTCAGATTAGTTATTGTTTAAAAGGATGTTATATTTATTTCCACTAAACAGGTATGTACTGCACTTTGTTGGTCTGTCGCATTAAATCTCATCAAAAAATAATTAAAGTTTGTGATTTAATTTGATAAAATGTGGAAAAGGTTCAGGAGGAAATCATACAGTTGCAAGCCAGTGTCCTTTATACCAACAGAAAACTGTTTAACATGCTATAAACACAGAAAAAAGATCACTTTAATATGGAGCAGCAACAAAGATGCTCTTTTAGGCTCGGAGGGATTTGGTTAAACAGAATCTCTCTCTCTACCAGACCACAATGCAGTGGCAGCAGCTCTTATTTATAGATATGCAAATACTGGTTTCTGACCTTGAATTAGCCACTGTCATTAAAATTAGCAGAAATTAAGCTGCAGGCTACAGTTTACCAGCCCACAACAGTGCTTTCTATACCAAGCTAATGAAAGCCTCTTACGTCACAGCCCTCTTCACATCCTGAGCAACGCCCTCCAGGCTTCCTGTCGAAAGGTACCACGCTGCTTCCACTGATGCAGCTACGTGGCCGAAGCGAGAGGCGTTCAGAAACTGCTCAAATGCAGCACTCTGTAGATAAAAGAAATACCCTCAGCAAAGCGACTACATTTAGGGCGAGGAGCCAGTGAAAGGTCTGGAAATCAAAACCTCATTCCTCCATGGCTTGTCAGGGTTTTCCCCACTGAGATGATAAATTCCCAGGTTGAACATCCCATCATCGCTCCCATTTAAGGCTGCTTGTTCAAAGTATTTTATTGCATTTCTGTGGTCCTTCAGCACAATCCCATGGTACCAGCCCAAGCCATTCAGGGCACTGATTGAGCCCTAAAGCGGGGAAACAGACACTGGTTTTTATAGGGAGCTCCTATGGAGTAAACAAACCGATTGATCGCTGTTCCCTCACCATTGCTGCTGCTTTTTTCAGAAGCTGAAAACCTTGAGTGTAGTTTCTCTTCACTCCCAGGCCCTGAAGGAATCAGCATCAATCAGCAAATCAATAAGTGTCAAAACAGAGACGGTGCACACACAAGCGCACGCTCAGAATGCACTGTGTTCAATTCAGTCATAAAATAAGATCCTTATGATTTTGCACAACCTTCATTAGTAGGATGGAGTAGTCGTAGACTGCCGCCGGATTCTTCATTTGCATGGCACTCCTCCTGAACCACTTCACCGCGCTCGCTATGTCTTTGGAGACTCCATTTTGTCCCCAGTAAAGCATTGTTCCCAGACGTCTCTAAAGTTAATAGAGTTTTTATTAGTCAGTTCTGAACACGACTTGACCGTTGAGTGCAGAAGAGGAATTACTCTCTGCCCCTGTGTTTTTATGCATCTTTCACAGATAAACACACAGAACTAATTTGAATAATGAATCCTAAGGCAGATTTTTGCAGGGATGTGAATCAAACATACCTGGGCTTCAGGGTCTCCCCTTTCTGCTTGGAATCTTAAATACTGAAAAACATCACTGGACTCGTCAGTCAGGGTGTTTAGATCCTCCTCATTTCCTAAATAGATAAGCGGAGGTGTGTATTGCTGCAGGGAAAACAAACACAGGGATTATGATGGTAAACTTGCAAATAAAACCAAATAGTTTCTGTTACCAATAAATCCTGCCCTGTAAACACTTGAAGCTATTAGAAAAGACACAGCTCCCTCGCTGGGTGCATCATTATCACTCATTAAATGAATTCAATATCCAGTCGGTGTGAATCAGCTGCAGTTTTCAGAGGCTTTTAGCTTTTTTTTTTCCTTCTACTTATTGATATTGGATGACATTCAACATGAAGATGAATGTCATGCAGACAGATGAAGCATTTGAAGTTTTTCTTTCTATTGTTGAAGGATTTTTCAAACTACATATGAAACACCACGCAGCTTTTGTAGCCATCAACAAACGTCAGGCATAGACAAATATTTGGCTGCATAACTGACAACCCCTCTTGGCAGTACAGACCGAATTAACTTAAATGTATTGGTTTTAATCCTTAATGGAGCTAACGACCAATCAGAAGTGTTTTTGATGTGAGTTTGGGAACACTGCCCCGTCCATCTGAGATAACTGGTAAGCTTGGATCAAAGGGAATAGGTTTAATTGTTCCACAAAACTCCAGGAAACATTAGATGAGCCTTTTATAAACACGTTTGATAAAAAGTGCCATAGAGAATCCAATATTAATTTAAACAGAGGGTGCTACAGTAACCAAGATCAATCTTCCAAGATCTACCTAAATAATCAGACTGATAAGAACTAAATCAATAGAGGAATATTTAGAGAAGTTAAGGAGAGGCTTTCAAACCTACACTGAATAAAACAATCTAGAAATAAG